CGCCCCCCCCGTCCCTCCTGCTCACTGGCAGCCATCTTTCTTCTCTCTTTATGGAGGAGAGGGGACGAGTCGTCGTCTCCATCCTCATGCTTCAGAGCTGTCTGTAACATACATACAAGCACACACATACACACAAGACTGATGCTTTGCTGCAGGAGTATTTGACTATACTCAGAAACAACAGTAACAGGAGTCGCCTCTTAGCAGCACCTGAGGGAAATGCTCAGTCAGACGAACTTTACACTAACGAGGCATCTGCCGCTGCAGCTTCACTTTCATACATTCGTCTATTTAACAACCGTTTGGTGCAGCTGTTTCACAACCTGCTCAACAGCGTCTTCTCTGACTCCTCCTACACAGTGCTGTGTAAAACACTGGCAGATTTCTTCCAAATGACACCCCATGCCAAACACAAAGCTACACCCTGCACTCCCTCCCCCACCTGCTCCTGTTTCATAGAAGACTGGCTGTTTTGAAGTGATTTGTGGAAGCAGAAGTGAACTCTGAAGTGTGTATTGAGTGTATTAAGTGTTTCCCTTTAAGAAACAATATGTGAACCTCTGTTACATGATTATCAAAGATGAAGAATGAGTCCGACTTGAACTTGAAGTTTTGTTTTTCCCGACAGCGTACACAGATTCTGAACACAAGAAAACCCCGTCAGGGTAAAGTGAAAGTCCTGTTGTCGAACTAGCTGTAAAACCATGTTGCTGCTCACGTCCCCTCTGCCACCGTGGTCGAGGGGAGACATGCTGCCGGCATCTGTATGCGTGTCGTTACTGTGGTTGTGATTGTTGGTACCTCGTAGATGGAGAACTGCGCTCGGAGGTCAGGCTCGGTCCCCTTGTTGTTCATGTGCTTGTGGATGATGTTCTCCATCCCCAGCTGCTCCAGACTGTCTGTCACATCGTAGAAGGAGTCCTGATCAGGGAGTGCCGCTAGAGTCTGACACACACACACAGGCAGTTAAATACCTGTAGCGTAGGTTTGGATTTATAGTTCTTAGTAAGATCTCAGACACTGGATATCACCACCACTGTGAGTTAGACATGATTAGGCTGTATGGAGCCTTCGTTACATTAGAGGTTCACTTCATTCATTTTGTCATATAGTCCAGTATAATTACAACTGCCTCTTTGATTGTCCACATACTAAGTTTACTGTACATGTATGTCATTTACACCCAGCAGACATGCAGAATATGCCTGTAGAAACATGGAGGCTGTGTGAATCTTTCAGTCAGAAGATGCAGCAAAAATCACCAGTGATGTTCTACATGATGCACACAGCTGTTGCTGTTCTTTTGTCCACCCTGTTTATATCACTGAGGCTAAACAAAAGAAACAGCTCTCAGTATAACACAGTGCAGAACAGCAGCACAAACTGCAGGTGAACCAACCTCTGGAAAACAGTGTGAACATCACTTTCATGCCGGAGGATTTACTGCTGCACTGTTGGATCAGACTGACTCAGTTTGAGACAGGGGTTCCTAATAAACTGGCCACTGCATAGTTGGTGTGTGTACACATGCGGCTCCTCAGTGCACAGGTACAAATGTTTACCTTGTTGATGAGGGTCATGGCAAAAATGAGCAACTCTGTGTCAGAGCCATTTCTCTCCTCCAGAATCTCCATCATGTAGCTCCAGGGCTTCACACCTGCAACACACAGTCAGGTGCGCGTGTGCACACACACACACACACACACACACACACACACACACACACACACACACACACTATTGCGCTAGTAAAGTGAAAGTCCTGTTGTCGAACTAGCTGTAAAACCATGTTGCTGCTCACGTCCCCTCTGCCACCGTGGTCGAGGGGAGACATGCTGCCGGCATCTGTATGCGTGTCGTTACTGTGGTTGTGTTTGTTGGTACCTCGTAGATGGAGAACTGCGCTCGGAGGTCAGGCTCGGTCCCCTTGTTGTTCATGTGCTTGTGGATGATGTTCTCCATCCCCAGCTGCTCCAGACTGTCTGTCACATCGTAGAAGGAGTCCTGATCAGGGAGTGCCGCTAGAGTCTGACACACACACACAGGCAGTTAAATACCTGTAGCGTAGGTTTGGATTTATAGTTCTTAGTAAGATCTCAGACACTGGATATCACCACCACTGTGAGTTAGACATGATTAGGCTGTATGGAGCCTTCGTTACATTAGAGGTTCACTTCATTCATTTTGTCATATAGTCCAGTATAATTACAACTGCCTCTTTGATTGTCCACATACTAAGTTTACTGTACATGTATGTCATTTACACCCAGCAGACATGCAGAATATGCCTGTAGAAACATGGAGGCTGTGTGAATCTTTCAGTCAGAAGATGCAGCACAAATCACCAGTGATGTTCTACATGATGCACACAGCTGTTGCTGTTCTTTTGTCCACCCTGTTTATATCACTGAGGCTAAACAAAAGAAACAGCTCTCAGTATAACACAGTGCAGAACAGCAGCACAAACTGCAGGTGAACCAACCTCTGGAAAACAGTGTGAACATCACTTTCATGCCGGAGGATTTACTGCTGCACTGTTGGATCAGACTGACTCAGTTTGAGACAGGGGTTCCTAATAAACTGGCCACTGCATAGTTGGTGTGTGTACACATGCGGCTCCTCAGTGCACAGGTACAAATGTTTACCTTGTTGATGAGGGTCATGGCAAAAATGAGCAACTCTGTGTCAGAGCCATTTCTCTCCTCCAGAATCTCCATCATGTAGCTCCAGGGCTTCACACCTGCAACACACAGTCAGGTGCGCGTGTGCACACACACACACACACACACACACACACACACACACACACACACACACACACACACTATTGCACTATTTCTGCCAGTCAGTTTCAGAAGGTGTGTGTGTTTGCACCTGGAAAACCCTGCAAAGCTTCCTGCCTCCCCACCTGTGCCTCCATGGGTTAACGTTGGCCTCATACTGCTGTTGTCAAGTCTCCCTCCACCTTCAGTCCTGACGTCCCTGTACATGATCAGAGATCTTTGTGCCTGGGTTCTTGAGCCAGCCACTCACTGGCTGCCATGTTTAACCATCTACTCCATGTGTCCCACGTCTCATCTCCACCTGAGTCAACGCCTAACAAAAGAACCTAACCACCAGATGTTTCTGCGGTCCTTCACTCTGTGTTGTTACTGTTACTGAACTCAACTTGACTGACATGAGACCAGGACTGGACCTCGAGCAGCCTCACTGTCACACATGGTTTGGTGCTGTGTGCTCTGGAAATCAAGCCGTCCACATCATCGTGATGAACGGCACCCATCATGAAGAGATACGGTGTTGTCTTTCTGCCTGGAGCCATTTATTTGTCAGCCAAGCAGGATCTCTCCCACACCTCTAAGTCAACACTCAGGACAGAAGGTTCTGTTACAAATGTAGTCTCGGTTCTTTATTATTCATCTTTCTGGTTTCTACTTCCTCCTTTTCTTCCTATTTTCTCAGCTCAGACAGCACGTCTGTCTCTGCTTGGACTGTGGAAGCACTGGGGATATAACGGAGGTTCAGTCCAGGACTTCACTGTCCTAACTCTGACAGGGGGTTTTACAAAGGCACTCGACTAGTGTCGGTGAACCAAAACTAACATCTCAAATGTAATAATACAGTTACTGTGCGTGTGTGAGTGTGGCCTTGTTTATATATACACTTGTGAGGAGCGCACTGCTTTGCAGGGACCAGAAACCACTTGTGGGGACCAGAGGCTGGGCCCCATGAAGCTAGGGTACGTCTCCTGGAAATGAATGTAAATCTACATGGGGACCACGTAGGTGACAACCGCAAGAATGTGTATGTGTGCATGTGTTCACCTCTCTGTGCGTCCACTGTGTTGACAGCGATGATGAGCAGAGGACTGTTGGACTCTGCATATTCAACGAAGACGATGAGCAGCTTCAGAGACGTTTTCACCACCAGACGAGACTGGAGACAGACAGACAGACATGTTCAGTATGTGTCCAGCAGGTGGCGTCACAGCTCTAACCTGCCGCCTCTGACTTTCCGCTGCTGAGGAAACCATTCAGCTGCACATTGTGTCCTAACCCTAAAGTGAAGCAAACTAACAAGTCTTTTTTCACATTTGTGAGGAATTTTGGACATTTTGGGTCCAAGCTTCACGGACTGGCAGGCTTCAGGTCTAAACTGGTTCAGTGTACCTGATCTATTTTTATAACAAGCTGTTCATCGATACTGACAGAAAAGACAAGGGTCCTGTATTAAACCTTAATGTAACCGTTCATTGCTCCACAGAGGGAAAGTGGGAGGTTCAAGCAGAAATGTTCAGAACAGCTTCCTGTCACCAACCCCCAGCTCCACACAAATCTACGTGATCCTTCAAATAAAAATATTTCACATAAAAAATACAAGTGCAACTTTCAGAGGCTGATGTGAAGTGACTGCTGGCAGACTCCATCGCATTGTCTCAGGTAAACATGCTCAGACATACTATAAATACATGGTGGCTACATCAGTGTAAATTTAGAAGCCAACATTTCTCCAAAGTTCCGCCCAGGTTGCTGTTTGAAACTGGGGAATAATAGCACTTTGCATTTAGAACCATGAGCAGAGAGCTGGGAGGAAAGTTTGAGATTTGGGTGGATGTTTGATTCTTTAACTACATCATGGAGTGAATGTGTCTGTAAATTCAGCCACATCTTCTGTTGGCTGACATCTAAACCTAAACCAAAACCAAACCAACTCTGAGCGAAGCGACGGAAGTCCTCATCTGAATGAGCTGGGCCCAACAGGTCTGCAGTTTGTCAGGCTTTGGTCCCCTGTGGTCAGGACTCACCTGGCTTCCTGTCAGTGTGTAGAGCCACTGCACCGTCTCATTGTGGTTTATCACTCCGTTCATCCCGTCCACAAACAGCATGATCTGGCTGAGAGCTGAGGACACACACAGAGAGACAGAGGGATAATGAGTCAGTGTGACCTCAAAGCTTTTCACAGCTCCAGAGGGTCCTCGACCTGTACTGCTGACTCAGCTGTGTGTCCGTTATCAGTGGCTTCCTACTGAGCTGCTGCAGAACCTCCATGAGCAGGACAGCAGCTGCTCTGAGGCCCGTTGCAGCATTCTGGGTGCACCTTAAACAGTGTCCCCTGATGGCAGTGACCTAACGTGACAGACTATCATATCATCCTGCTCCTGAGCTCAGCAGGTGGCCTGTGAGGACACAGACACAAGCTGTGTTGTTAGGCTTACTGACTAAAACCTGCTCTGAACCTCCTGTTGAAACAGGCAGACAGGAGACTGCCTTATGCTGCAGCAGTGATCTGGACTGACACCAGTGAAACAGTCCACACATTCTGTCAGGAAGCCAAACCACAGACTTTACAGCTACATATCAAGCCAGGAGCCCAGTGTGTGGGCTTAAAGATTCTGGGTGCAGTGTCCCTATGGTCCTCTCTGTGTGACCTGCCGGGTGGAGTCTCACCTCTCAGGATGTAGTTCTGGTAGTTGTGGTCAGCCTCTGCTCCGACTTTAATGAAACACGTCAAACCTTCAGACGCCACAAACTCTGGGACCAGGTCTTTATCGTCCTGCAGAAGAAGAGACTCATTTGCAAACTGTGGACACATAAAACTCCAGACACAGACACTGTTGGTTTCCTACTGTCCTGTGTCCAAAAACCTTCTTCTCTTCAGTCACAGATGTAAATGTGATGCATCATGTATTCATCATGGGTGTCTGAGAAAACTGCAGCGTTGTATCTTATGACTTTCACTGACGGACATGAAGCTACAGGGTAAGTTAATCATTTTAAAGTCATGAGCAAACGGTGGCCCCATGTTCTGCAGGCTGCTCTGCTTCTGGCCTGAAATGTCTGAGCCTGGGCTTCAGGCCGAGCTCAAGACAAGAGAAATGAGTGTGTTACCTGGAAGAGCTGTTTGAGAGAGAAGAGCGAGCGCCTGAGCTCAGGACCCTGGGAGTTATACAGCTTCTCTAAAACACAAGAACAAGACCCACAGGAAGTTAGTTTACATCCAGAACCATGTTTAGTGGCTAATAACCAGGTTGAAGTGTGGCAGAGGCAGACAAAGGTGTTGTATACCAGCTTGTGCTCTCTGCACCTGCTGCCTGGACTGTGTGTTAGAGGTAGAACCATCACTCTGTTTGTGCAGCCCAGGCATGAAATATTTTCACTTTGTCTTCATTTATCCACTGTGTTCTGTTATATTACAAGTCAGAGCCCTGCATTTAAACTAGCACTGAAGTAGAAGTACGTAGGAGTATTAGCAGCAAATTGTACTTTCCATGATCATATTACCGATCCAGAGGGATCAAAGCTTCAGCAGCATGTTCCTGCTGGAGCTGGCTTTAACTACTTTATATACAGTTAGCTGGTTTAGTCCAGTGGGTCCCAACCCAGGGGTCGGGCCCCCCCAAAGGGTCAGCAGATAAATCTGAGGGGTGGCCACATGACTCAGACAGAAGACAGAACCTTAGAGTACATACTGTATCTCAAATTCATAAACATCTAAATAATGACAAGCCAAAAAGCTTGGGAACAGCTGGTTATTGTTGGAGACGCAGAAGAGAAGGAATCCATTTCCTGTCAGTTTCTCCCAGAGGTCATGAACCCTGTAATTCAGAGGAAAGGATGTGAGATTTCAAACCCAGCAGCTTAAAACAACATGACAAAGAAACGCAGCAACTCATGAAGTGAAACTGTTCACACATGTCCCCAGGCCCTCAGTGATCATGTTACTGCTGCTGACACCAACAGCACACCTATGGTTACTACAAACACACTCAACAATCGCCAGTCCTGACAACCACTTACTGGGTGTCGCCTTTGTCATTCAGAGAAAACTCTCTTCAAAGATTTCTCCCCTGTTCTCATTATTGGTGGGTTTTCCTCATCTTGGGATAGGAAATGTTTCTGCTGTGAAGCCCTGTCACTGAAACAAACAAACAGTCTGAGGGACTGCATTAAAACAACTCAAGACAAAATGACTGTACCAAACAGATAAAATGAGGATATGTAACAGAAATAAAAAGACACACAATCACTAACCACGGCCCATCATAGTAACAGGAAGTCAGTCGGTTGTCACAGCAACATGAGCTTTTCATTCGGGATGGTCTTCATCTCTTTTGGCCACTGACATGCCATAACAGCACAGGGCAGACTGGGCTCTGCCATCCAGTCAGGTATTAGCACATGAAACAGCAGGACTCACACCTGAATCCTGACTCATCAACATCACAAGTCCACTTCCCCTACATCACATCTGCCGTGGCCTCTGATAACCGTTACAGAGACATGTGGTGTGAATTGTTCAGTGTGTCATGAAGTCAGGAGGCCTCTGTGGTCACCTGCTGCTGCTATTCCTCTTCCAACAGCCAACATGACCAACAGAAGATGACTCCTGCATCAGGTCCGACTCTGCCTGTGCTCTAAGACACAAATCCATCATGGTGACCTCACGTAACTTGAGCTCCTTGGTTGTGCACATTCACACAGTAAACACCTACTGAACATGGCGAGATGCAAAACAAAACTTGACCCATTTCTTTTCTATGTGACATGAGTGAACCACTTTGCAAGGACCAGTAGTGATGCAGTGGCGGTTCAGGAAGTTCACTGCTGATCCACTATGTTTGTGGAGGATAAGACCTCTACTGCGCTCTCCAGGACCCCTTTAGTCCCAGAGCTCCAGGGCCACAGGTAAAAACCAGAGCACCCAGACAGCGCATGTACCTCCGCCAAGGCACAGCATTCACTCAACCAAATGGGTCCCTGAGGAAAGGTGAGATCCAGAACAACACAAAATGTGTCCTAACGTCCTTGATCCAGATTGGATTTGGATCACCTTTTAGGGTATGACAGGCAGCTTACCTCAACATGTCAGGGAAGTACATCGGGCCATGACTACACACTAGTCCACATGTTGCACTGCAACAGTTCAAAGTTTATTAGTGTCTGATGTAATTACACAACAGGCTATCAGGTCAGACATTTAAAGACAAGAAGGAAACGTGCGCTTACACACACACATGCCATGCTAACACTGCTGTAGGCGTTCAGACTGGCAGGATGTTTGTGTGGGATGAGACAGGATGACCACAAGACACAGTCCAATTGGAGACAAAGCTGACAAGCACAACCTGAAGCTGTAAGACAACAGCAGGAAGCTCCTGCAGCACAAACATGCAGCATGAACAACAGAAGCCTGCCCTCACAGCTGAACATGCATCACATTAGGCCTTATCATTAAAGGGCTCCAGCAGGAAACGTCTGGCTACAGGTCTGCAGGCTGAGAGGAGATGCAGCGACGAGTCTGCTCTCTGCGACTCTCTACACCACCGGAAGAGGAGGTGCAGAGACAAAACACAATCAGGACAAGGAGATGACATCAGATGTACGAGCGTGCATAGGAGCATGGGACTGAGACAGCAGCCACTGAATCTGGGAGCAGTTTTCATCTCATTCAGTGACTTGTGCAACTCAGACTGGCAGTCTATCAGTACAGTCACAACAGCCCCAGCAGCAGCGTCTGCTACTGGTCCCAGTACCAACACAAACCTACTGTTGTCACATTCCCACCCAGAACACTGGGCCTAGGCTGTGTCTGCTATCTGTGTGAGGCGAAGTTATTGCATGTGGTACGCTTGGTTTGTGCTCCTGTAAACATGTTGTGTACAAGGCCTGTTATTCTTCATAGTATTTATAGCATTGTGACACAAATATGACTCAGGCTCCAACTTGGCAACATTTAAGAACTACAGCTGAACCTGAACCGGGTCCAAGGTCTTCAGTGCTGTATATCTGCTGACACTTATTTATCTAAATGCTGATTAAATCTGTTCAAGTGTAGAAATAACAGCTTAACTAGCCGATCGGCTGATCAGCAGAAACAATTTATCTGCTCTGAGAGCGTGACTCCTGAGATCCTGCAGAAAGAAGATGTCTCACTCTGTTGGAGTTGCATCACCACACTGATGATCTCTGGTACGGACACACAAATCAACAACAGGTGAGTTTTATTTTGTCCCTGTTCACACACCAG